GATAAAAGTACCAGAATAGGACTTTCATGTTTTTTGCACTGTGGTAATGTGGCAGTGTACATGTACAAATTACTATACGTTTTTGGTAATGTATATGACCATGTATGGTAATGTAAGTCCTATTTCGAGAATAAAAACATGAAAGTCATATTTTGGTATATCTTCAATGTTTTAGTCCTACTTTGGTCCTTCTCCCATATCTTTTTAAATACTTTCAGAGACACTAAGGGCGAAACAGAGAAAAGAAAAAAATTACAATCTTTTTGTTATATCATATGAAATGGTTTTTTGATCTTCACCAAACGATTTAACCGCGTATTCTTTTATAAAACAAAAAGTCAACCAATTAATTTAATTATCTTAAAGTGATGAAAAGACAAATATCTATTTTGGATTGTTTTATTGCAAGAGAAATATTTTAGACAGTGTCTTTTCTCAACAAAGAAAAAAAATGAAAATAGGTAAATTATTTTGGGATAATTAAAGCAGTAGACATCAGCTAGACGAATCCAAAAACAGCAACAAATATGTAGCCCAGTCAACCTAAGGTCCCACAATATTGGGCTTCGAATACTCTTCTTCCTTGATGATATATACTCCAAGTATGCTCTAATCTTACCACACATGAGCTTAAGGAACCACTGCAATTACCTAATATCCTTCCTTGGCCATACAAACTAAGTCCAACCAAAACCCTTAGCACCTTGGGTTGGCCTGTCCCATTCATCCTTTCAAGTTAAGGGCATGTGGCACCGAAGGTAGATAGATATAATACCCTTTTTTAGCAGGTGGGGAGGGGAATTCACATTCAAAGAGAGAAAACACAAACCAAAACCAAAATTATAAGAAAAAAGTTTTTCCGCACATCACGTAGTCATTTCTGAACATTAATGCACAATAAAATTGGATTGCAAAGATGAATAAAATAAAATAATTAAATAAAGATTGAAAAAATATTAAATAAAAAAATGCAATGAAGCAGCATGCAAATACACAGAACAGCTATCACAACTAGGAATCAATGTCTACAAAAAGCTGAAGAATCTGATAACATTAAACTGCAGTAGATGAGTCCACAATATTGCAGGTCATCTCAATCTGTTGCCGCATATACAAGTCAGCAGTGCCTAACTACTATGCAATGATATGAAATGGTGTTCATGGATTAAAGAAAATAGAATTTCTAGAAACCAAGTTCTGAAGAACCAAACAGAACCTGAATTTGATCCAAACTCCAAAGCCGTTCATGTTGCATTCTCCTGAATGAACAACCCATCCCTTTGTGAGCTACAAGAATAGAAGGTTCAAAGAACACAACATTATTGTTATACTGATTTGGCTAAACTATGTAATCTTTTAAGAAGCTCAAAAACTGAAAACCCACTTTGGCAACATGTAAATCCATCGTCTTGATCAAAGGGACAAGAGTGAAGACAATGACTGTAGTTGGAGACACAGACTTTCAAAACCTGATCACAAAACCCTAATATGTCCGAGCAGAGAGCATTTAAGGATGAATTCAATAACTGTCATGAAACAAAATCTGAAACCTGAACCACATAAGCCTATTACTTCTATTCAAAATCTAGAAAAAAATTATTATTCCAAACCTATAGCCTTTTGTTAGTGACATTAGATCAATAATCCATGCAAAAAGTCAACTGGGCCTAACAATGAATGCCCAACGTTGTACCTTCAGACACAAGAATATAACACTTGCTAGGAAATAAAATTTTGGAAAACTATACCTGAATTTATTCATAGTGGTACGTGTTCCTTACCCTGAATGAGGTATAAGAGAAGATTAGACTGGGGATCTGAAGATAAAACTGAAAATCACTAGTAATATGAATTATGATGCAGTGATGATGAACACAACAGATCCATTGTCTATCGTAGAGCCATAATAAGATTATGTTTACATGTTTGAATGGAACTATGGAAGTCCTTAAACAAGTCAAGAGATGAATAGATGATATAGATCAACCTAATATTCTTCAGTAATACATTCATATAAAATCCAGATCAGGCAGAGGACCTTGTAATTGTCATTGAATCTCCTGCCTCGATCTCATACAATGTTAAACAAATCCATATCATTTGACGATCACGTCAACTCCATATTCCTTATAAACGTCTATGTTTTTTAGTCTGGACAATTAAAATATAGGACGTGGTGAAACATTTTATATGAAAAGCATCAGATTTCTGAAAAACAGTCTCTATGTCTTCGCTGTAGTTCACATCTTCTTCGGGCATAAAACCTGACAAAGTTTCCATGTATTTTTAATAAATCTACTACTAGCACCGCATCTAATGTTTGAAACTCAAAATCAGATCATTTTCAATAACTCCACTCCCAGCATCTCCTTCTTTGACAAGGTTTGATAGGAAACACGCAACTGATCAGGGTAAAATAATTCAATCGGGATTTTGACGGTCGTGGTGTTTAGCACAACAGAACTTACTGATATATAAGCAATGGACGTCTTGAAATCAAACCAATCCTATCATTTGACGATCACGTCAACTCCATATTCCTTATAAACGTCTATGTTTTTTATAGTCAAGATTCTGCGTTCAGATTGTCCTGCACGAAGAAAGACGAGGATTAAGGTGCTGAGGGTTAGCTAAGGATGGGAAAGAACCAAAGAATCAAGATTATGTTTGTAATACTCTATATTTGATAATTAGAGACTACAAATGAAAAAAAACTTCACAACAGATGGGTCTACCTATATTTAGCAATTGGATTTGGAAAAACAACATTGAGAAGTTTTTTTTTATCTACAAAAGATATATATGCAAAAAAAAACTTCAAATACGTTCTGCGTAAGCCTCCTTTAGCTGAATACAAATTATCCCACAACAAACCACTGCATTTTTTCTTCATAAGATTTATTTGAAGAATGATAAAGTGCAGGTTAATTGGCTTTCCCCTCCTCCTTTATCCGGGCTAGGGACCGGCTGCTGTCATAGGCGGAGTTAAAAAGCATAATTAAACTACACAGATATTCAAAATAAAAAATGCCATACAGAGAGAAAACACAAACCAAAACAAAAATCATAAGAAAAAAGTTTTTCTGCACATCACATAGTCATTTCTGAACATTAATGCACAATAAAATTGGATTTCAAAGATGAATTAAATAAAATAATAAGTAAAGAATGAAAAAATATTAAATAAAAAAACCAAAATGAAGCAGCATGCAAATATACAGAACGGCTATCACAACTACGAATCAATGTCTACAAAAAGCTGAAGCTTTTGAGTTCAAGAATCTGAAATAGTGTTCTTGGATTAAAGAAAATAGAATTTCTAGCAACCAAGTTCTGAAGAACCAAACCGAACCTGAATTTGATCCAAACTCCAAAGCCGTTCATGAACAACGAATTGCAAAGTGCTTTAAAATGGAGATAGTAGTATTAGAAACTAAATAGATCTGTTGTAATGAAAAACCTTGCAGCAAGGACTCAGCTGCACCAATAAACCAAGGCAGATAAATAGATCAACCTGTTATATATTCATCAGCAAGATCAATAAAATCTAGAGGAGACCCGGGACCTTGTACTTCTCGTCAAATCATGTGCCTTACCTTACATCAACAGATCTAGAGGTAGAAGTTCCAGCAGCCAAACAAGTGAAACAACATACCCACGAAATTTCTTACCAGGAAAAAAACAAAACCTTGGATCTGATATATGTGTATTGTTCAAAAAAATCCATTTAGAGAGGCTTTGGCATCTGGACAATTACAATGGCTAGACATGATGGGATTTTCAAATGTTTTCATGAAGAGCATTAGATTACTACTATTCCATGTGTACAGAGTGATAACACTAATTTGCATTCCCTTCTACCTCAAAAGTGAAGCTCAACCCCCTTGCTTCAGTTACTGACAAAAAAGCCATCTCGATGTCTTCAGGTTTATGAAGGTTGTGGTATTTATAGACTACAAGAGGTGGTCAAGTAGAAGCTAACACACCATTCTTCGTACATAGTTCTTGTCAAATCCATTTCCTCTAAAACATAATCACAGCACCGACTTCATGTTACAAGCAATGGACACCTTGATATCAAACCAAGCCATATATTCAATCATCCAAGTTCACAAAAATGCTGACATGACTGACATCAAATCAAATAACAGGATAAATAACGCATCGGGCAGAGCTTGCTCAGCGAGATGAATCCGAAGTATTGCAAGCAAAGTCAAACTATTACTCCTCAGAACCCTAAACATATAAGGACTATGAGAGTCGGTCAAAAAGAAACTCACCATAGATATTCATTTATGTTCATCGAATCACCGAATTGAACTTTCATCAACAAATCAAGAGCTACAGGCTCCACTGTTCCAACAAAATTTCATTCCAGGAAACCAAAATCTTGGGTCTGATATATTGTTTAACAAAAGCCATTTAGAGAAGCATTAGCATCTGGACGATTACAACAGCGAGATGTGGTCGGATTTTCAAACAAAAGAGCATTAGATAACTACTTTTCAGTTAACACAGGGAGACCACTAGTTCATGATTACCTTCTGCCTCGCTGGTCAAAGAGGGTGTCTTTGAAAGAGTGCTCCATAACCTCCATATGCATGTTGATCTTCATGTTACTTTCTCAACAGTGAAGCTAATCCCCCTAGCTTTTATTGCTGACAAAAAAGACGGTCTATGTTTTTGCTGTAGTTCACCTGTTCTTTGGACATAAAACTTGACAAATTTTCTGTGGGTTTTCAATAAATCTATTTCCAGCATCACATCAAATGTTTGTAACTCATAATCAGAGCATTTCCAATGCCTACACTTCCAGCAGCTCCTACCTTGATTATTGAAGTCTCACAATCAAAGTAAAATCTATGACCTGCACCACTTCTATAAGTCAACACCGCCGAGGTTTGGCAAGAAACTTATCAACAAACCATGTTAAATGATTTTATCAGGATTGTGACAGTTGCGGTATTTATAAGGGGTGGTCATGTAGACATGATTTCTGCACAGAACTTCCTGATATATTGGTAATGGAGACCTTGAAATCAGATCAAGCCATCTCATTCTACCACCCAACTTCACAAAATTGTTGAAATGAATGACATCATGTCGGACCAACTTGCACATCCAGATAAATCCAAAATATTGCACGCAAAATCAAACAAATGATCACATATGGATCCAAGAATCTCGTCGAGAAAATATGCCCTATACTAATCGTTATGGGGTTTATTGATTATGAGTCAAACAAGATGAAACTAACCTATTTGATATGGCTGTCTCCGATGTAAGGATGAAACTACCCATTATATCATACTCCCTCCATTATGACCAATGGAATCATTGAACAAGTGAATGATGTGAACGCACGCAGTAAATAATGAAAGAAAATAATTCTTCAGCTTAATTTGTCACAACAAATTAGTAGGAACCGGTTTTTAGAACTGGACAATTATCAACTGGATATTAAATATGTTTAAATGAAAAAGTGCACTAAGGACTCACCTGCACCAATAAACGAAGGCAGAAAAATCAATCAACCTAATCAATATTCATCAGTAACAATATAAAGTCCAGATGTACCAAGACTTCGTACTTGCCAAGAACCTTGTACTTGACATCAAATCACGTTTTTGAGCCTACATCTACTAATTGAGAGCTACAAGTTCCAAAACAACAAACCCTCACAATCTTACCAGAGAAAAAATCTTGGAGCTGATCTAGATGCGGTGAGATTTTCAAATGTTTGGCATGAAGAGCATTAGATTACTACTTTTCTTTTTGTACGGAGTGAGAAAACTAACTCATGATTACCTTCTACCTTGTTGATCAGATGGGATGTCTTGGAAAGAAAGCCCATAACCTCCATTGGCAAGCATTGGTCAAGGGAGACCTTCGCGTGAGCAATCCCACAATAGATATGATAGACGATAGGGCGCAATGACGTTGTTTGATCCATGTAGCCGACCCCACCTAGAGCTGAGGTTTGATATGAAAATTAGCAACTGATCAAATATTAAATATAAAAAATAGTAGTGGCAGTTATCTTAAACTATCTAATTAAATAGTGCTCTTTAGATTTTAAGATATAATTTAGAATATCTATACTGTTAGAACGATGAATGCCCATGCTTCACTGTAGATAACCAAGGAACTCGTACCAAATTATTGCAGGTGAGAGTGAATCACCCGACCTACATCAGATCAACAACAGGGTAGAGATTTTCAACAATAGACCAAGATAAATAAACAATTCCCACCCAAAACAACGAACCGAGCTTAGATGTGATGAACCAGAGAACTAAAAACAAAGGGTGAACTCCAATCCACTATCTGAGCTATATCATCCAGTTAAGACGTGAACACAATTAATTGCCTAAAATAGATGCTCCAACAACCGATCCATCGCCATAAAGGTTGAAACATCAATTATCAAACTGGGAATCAGAAAAAATTCTTGGATCCGAGAATTTGCTTAACAAAAGCCATTTAGAGAAGCTTTGGCATCTAGACAATTACAGTAGCTAGATGTGGTGAGACTTTCACATGTTTTGCATGAAGAGAATTAGATTCCTACCATTCTTTTGGTACCATCTACCTTATTGGTCAGAAGGAATGTCTTGGGCAATTAAAACAGCTAAAAGTGGTGGGATTTTCAAACATTTTGCAGGAAGTGCATTACATAACTATTATTCTGTTCGCACACCTCACTAGTCAAAGAGGGTGTCTCAGAAAGAGACCTCCATAACCTCCATATGCAACACTGAAGCTAGTCCCCTTGCTTATATTGTTGACAAAAAAGACAGTCTATGTTTTCCTTGTAGTTTACCTGTTCTTCGAGCAAAACACTTGACAAATTTTCAGTGTATTCAATAAATCTACTTCCAGCATCACATGTAATGTTTGTGACTCAATCAGAGCATTTCCAATACCTACACTTCCTGCATCACCTTCCTTGACTATTGAAATCTCACAATCGAAGTCAAATCGATGATCTGCATGCACCACTTCCATAAGTGATTAGAGCCTAGGTTTGATAGGAAACTTAGCAACAGATCATGTTAAATAAGGAAAAGTCAACTAATTAATTTAATCATCTTAAAGTGATGAAAAAACAAATAATTTATGGTGGATTATTTTATAGCAAGAGAAATATTTTAGATCGTGTCTTTTCTCAAAAAAGAAAAAAAGAGATGGGATGAAAAAAATAGGTAAATTATTTTGGAATTATTAGCTAGACGAGTCCAAAAACACCAACGGGAATCCTCTCCTTCAACTTAATCAGCTTTCTCCTACTCCTTTATCCGAGCTGGGACCGGTTGCTTTTAAAAATGGAGTCAAAAAGCATAATTAAATTACACGAAGATATTCAAAAATACAAATGCTACGGAGATAAAATTAGAGAGAGAGAGTATAATAGATACAAAAGGGACTGAAGGTAAGTTAGTGGTTTGATTTCGCACCAAAATTATGTAAATCATTGATTATTCAGTTTGATTTTATTTAGTTTTATTTTAATTTTTTAAAATAAAAAATTTTAAGCATTAAAAAAATTGCAACAGAGTAAATCATTTATTTAACAAAGTAACTCTTTTTTTGAAAAAAAGGCTCAATCTTTCTTCAACTTTTTCAATAATGCAACAAAGAAACTATCTAATCGAGTAACTAAACGTTATAAATGCAACAAAAAGTAACGTTTGAAAAATAATAAGTACAATTCCATCCAATTTGTGGGATTGAATTGAGTTGTTGTAATGACAAAGCAAGCTCGGTCTTCGAATCAAATATTTTAACAAAACATTTATGTTTTTCATTACCTTGACATTCTTGAGACAATTTTCAACTCTCAGTTCATTTGGAATTTTTAAAAATAAATCACTAACAAAGTAAATTGTTGACCAAAATAAATTAAAGAGTAAATAATATAGAGTAAGAATAAAAGAAAGAGGAAAGAAATGTATCCTAAAAATATATGCTTCGGTCTAAAGAAACTTAGTTTGGTTTTCAAAGCCCAAAATCAAAACCAAAGCCAAACAAAAATGGTTCAATTTTTTGTATTAGATTTCTCAATTTAATTTTTTGGCAAAAGTCGATATCTTTCGATTCAGTTTCTAGTTTTCTGACTCACCCCTATAGTTTAAGAATAAGCAATAAGTCAAGAGAATAAGCTCAATACGACGAGTGCGATGTCTATGGTTCGCCCCAATGGCCGACCACAAGGGCTAGACGAGGCCAACCATTGACGAAATGTTCATCAATATGTTAGAAATTTAGAATATGTAACTCAGTCAACCTAAGGTCCCACAATATTTGGCTTCGAATACTCTTCCTTGATGATATATACTCCAAGTATGCTCTAATCTTACCACATATGAGCTTAAAGAACCTTATATGCAAGTGTTGTGATCCATTTTAAGTTTGGGTTGAATTTATTTTGCTTAAAACAACAAAAGTCCAAAAAACCACTATAATTATCTAATATCCTTCCTTGGCCAAACAAACTAGGTCCAACCAAAACCCTTAGTACCTTGGGTTGGCCTGCCCCATTTATCCTTTCATGTTATGGGTAGGGGCGGCCCACCTTGGGTTAAACAGGTCAAGCGACCCTGTCAAGCGACCCCACAGAAATTTTAAATTTTTTAGTATATATGTATATATTTACATAATTTTTAGTGTTTACCTATATTTAGTATATATTCTACAAAACGCTCCTTAATTCAATTTGAAAACGCTGAAAGAGTGGAAAACTCCATCTTTAACAATCGGGTGCATGCAATGGGCGGTCTTGGGTTCGAAACTAGCTTGGGATAAGTAATTATTTTTAAAGTGGTGTTATTTTTCTTTCTTTCTTTTTTTTTCCGGTTTTGTCTTAAACCTAAAAAACTTCAAATGGGCTTGTTGATTTGTCTATGAAAATGGTTTTTACGAAGAAGGCTATGACATATCAACATGTTTACACACTCATAAGGTTAGCTTTGCTTCTACCATTAGCAACTGCTAGTGTTGAGCGTGCTTTTTCAACCATGAAGTTTGTGAAGAAATAGGTTTGAAACAAAATTTGTGACCAATGGTTAATTGATTGTCTAGTGACATATATTGAAAGAGAAATCTTTGCTACTATTAGCAATGATAAAATAATAAATCACTTTCAAAATATGAAAACTAGACATTATCAATTGTAAGATGCATTTCACATTTGCAATGTAGAACTATTTTTAATTAGTACTCCCTCTGTCCTAGACTATTTGTCCAATTTTGACTTCTTTCAGTCAACCGTTTTCAACATTTGACCTATAATTAAATTATATATATTGTACATTAATTAAATAAATAATATTTTGAAAATGTCTTATATAATAAATCTAATAAAACTATTTTTGTATCAATATCTAATATCATTTTTATTTAATTTTAGGTCAAAACTGAACAAATATTCCAGGACAGAGGAGTATTTTCAATAATATATATAAACTTTAATGTTATGTATTATAGAATATTGTTTATTTACTGTTAGAAGCGTGTTGGTTGGATATTAATTTTCTAAATTGCGACCCCATTGTTAAAATGTTCTGGGTCCGCCCCTGGTTATGGGCATGTGGCACCGAAGGTAGATAGATATAATACCCTTTCTAGCAGGTGGGGAGGGGAATTCAGGAGAAAATACAAAGCAAAACCAAAATCATACGACAAAAGTTTTTTCTGCACATCACATAGTCATTTCTGAACATTAATGCACAATAAAATTGATTACAAAGTTGAATAAAATAAAATAATATAATGAAGAATGAAAAATATTAAATAAAAAAATGCAATGAAGCAGCATGTAAATACAAAGAACAGGTATCACGACTAGACCTGTCAAAAATGACCCGACCTGTAATTAACCCGAGACCCGATCTGAAAATACTGAATTTTGAACAAAAGTTTTGCTGACCGAACCTGAAGTTGATCAAACCCAAAATTACCCGTTAAAAATGGGTCAAACCCAACCAAACCCAAACCCGACATGATCGACCCGCTAATGTAAGAATTTTTCAAAGTATATGTAATATAACGTTATAGATAATAAAATTTTAATTATATTTCTTTGCTTACTACTCGTTTTTAATGTATATTATACATTCATACAAAATTTTAAAGATGTCGCATAATTATCTTTTTTTAAAATTTTTTACATATTTAATTTTTTCTATTCGTAATATTGACAATCTATCATAAATTTTACTTAAAATTTTAAAAATAAATGAAAGTCATAGTCCGTTAGGTCAATCCAAATCTGATGATATTGGGTTATAAACATGTAGCTCTCAACCCGAATCTGAACTTATCTGAACCCAAAGTAACTTGAACCCAAGGTAATCAAACCCGAACCCGACCCGGCCAACCATTTTGCCAGTTCTAATCACAACTATGAATCAATGTCTACAAAAAGCTGAAGAATCTGATAACATTAAACAGCAGTTTTGCTATTCTTTTTATTTTGATTTTTTATTCATATATTTTTAAATAAAAAACTAAAATTATATGCATTTAAAAAAAATTTATAAAATAATTAAACAATAAACAAAAACAACTAAAAACACTAACTAATCATCAGTAGAAAAATCAGCCGCATATTTTATGAAAAAATGTGAGCTCTGATATCGAGATTATGACCACCCAAAAAGCAAAACGTAAGAAAATTTATGTGGAGTAAATTATATAAATAATTCCTAGTTATAGGTAAATCTTTACATGCAGTCTCTACTTATCAAATATTACAAGTGTAACACATAATTCTTTAGTTCCTTTTCACGGCTAGTCCTTCGTTACTGATTCTATTGCCTACATGTTAAATAATTGGTTATAGGGATACAACAAAATAAGTTTCACATAGTGAAAGTTCACCTCCACCTCTCAATTTAACCCTTTTCTATTCCTTATATAGGCCTCTGTTTCTATGGTTAGAATTCTCCGTTCAGATTATCCTGCACGAAGAAAAGACAAGGATTAAGGTGCTGAGGATTATGTTTGTAATACTCTATACTCCGTATTTGATAAGTAGAGACTATAAATGAAAAAAAACAACCAATTATTATCAACACCTAAGCCAAGCACAATCTTTGTACCTACGGCAACTCATTCACAACAGATGGCTCTATCAATATTTAGCAATTGAATTTGGAAAAACAACATTGAAAAGAAGTTATTTTATATCTACAAAAGATATAAATGTAAAAGAAAAAAAGCTTCAAATAGCTCTTCTTAAGCCTCCTGTGGCTGCATACAATTTATCGGTACCTACACAATGGACTCATTGTCATAGCAGCAGTCCGGCTATTACAAATCCCACAACCACTACATTTTTTCTTCATAAGATTTATTTTGAAGAATGATAAAGTGCAGGTTATGCTAGGGGTACACCAAAGGTGTACCCCAAATGTACACCACTCCACTCTTTACCATTCATTTTATTTTGTTTTTATTTTTTATTTTATTTTTGAATTTAACTTGCCTTTTTGTGTGGTTATGGAGGGGGTGGGGATGTTTGGGGTACACTTTTGGTGTACCCCTAGCATTTTCCTAATTGGCTTTCCCCCCTCCTTTATCCAGGCTAGGGACCGGCTATTGTCCCAGGCGGAGTTAAAAAGCACAATTAAACTACCCAAATATTCAAAAAAAAAAATGCCATACAGAGAGAAGACAAAAACCAAAACCAAAATCATAAGAAATTTTTTTTTCTGCACATTACAAATTCATTTCTGAACATTAATGCCCAAAAAAATGGATTACAAAGATGAATAAAATGAAATAGTAAAATAAAGAATGAAAAAAATATTAGTTAAAAAATGCAATGAAGCAACATGCAAATACACAGAACAGCCTACGAATCAATGTCTACAAAAAGCTGAAGAATCTGATAACATTAAACTGCACTAGATGAGTCCACAATATTGCAGGTCATCTCAATATGTTGCCGCATATACAAGTCAACAGTGCCTAAAGACTACGCAATGATATGAAATAGTGTGTTCATGGATTAAAGAAAATAGAATTTCTAGCAACTAAGTTCTGAAGAACCAAACAGAACCTGCATTTGATCCATACTCCAAAGCCGCTCATGTTGCATTCTCCTGAATGAACCCATCCCTTGTGAGCTACAAGAATAGAAGGTTCACAGAACACAATCTTGTTGTTATACTGAATTGGGCAAACTATGTAATCTTTTAGAAAGCTCAAACTGAAAACCCTAATATGTCCGAGCAGAGAGCATTTAAGGATGGATTCAATAACTCTGTTATGAAACAAAATCCGAAATATGGACCACACAAGCCAAGATAGCCAATTACTTCTATTCAAAATATAGTAAAAATTATGATTCCAAACCTCCAGCCCTTTGTTACTGACATTAGATCAATAATCCATGCAAATAGTCAGCTGGGCCCAACAATGTACCTTCAGACACAAGAAAGTAACACTTGCTAGGAAATAAAACTTTAGACAACAAAACCTGAATTTATTCATAGTGGTACCACTGGTACGTGTTGCTTCTCCTGAATGAGTTATAAGAGAAGTTAGACTGGGCATCTGAGGATACAACTGAAAATCACTAGAATTATGAATTATGATGCAGGGATGATGAACACAACAGGTCCATTGTCTATTGTAAAGACATAGTAAGATTACGTTTACATGTTTGAATGGAAATATGGAAGTTTTTAGGCAAGTCAGGAGATGATATAGATCAACCTAATCTATATTCTTCAGCAGTAAATATAAAATGAGGCCGAGGACCTTGTACTTGTCATCGAATCTCCTACCTGGATCTCATACGTTGTTAAACAAAAGGCATTCAAAGAACCTTTGGCATCTGGACAATTAAAATAGAGGACGTGGTGGGATTTTCAAACATTTTATATGAAAAGCATCAGATTACTGAAAAACAGTCTATGTCTTTGCTGTAGTTCACATCTTCTTTGGGCATAAAACCTGACAAGGTTTCCATGTATTTTTAATAAATCTAGTACTAGCATCGCATCTAACGTTTGAAACTCAAAATCAGATCATTTTCAATAACTCCACTCCCAGCATCTCCTTCCTTGACAAGGTTTGATAGGCAACAGCAACTGATCAATCAGGATTCTGCGTTCAGATTGTCCTGCACAATCAGGATTTTGACAGTCGTGGTGTTTAGCACAACAGAACTTACTGATATATAAGCAATGGACGTCTTGAAATCAAACCAATCCATATCATTTGACCACCACGTCAACTCCATAATCCTTATACACGTCTCTGTTTTTTACTCAGGATTCTGAGTTCAGATTGTCCTGCACGAAGAAAGACAAGGATTAAGGTGCTGAGGGTTAGCTAATGATGGGGAAGAACCAAAGAATCAAGATTATGTTTGTAGTACTCTATATTTGATATGTAGAGACTACAAATGAAAAAAACCACCAATTATTATCAACAATTTATGAAATGATGTTATCTCAACCTCTAAGCTATCATTCACGAATTGCGATTAACACCTAAGCCAAGCACAAACTTTGTCCCTACGGCAACTCATTCACAACATATGGGTCTATCTATATTTAGCAATTGGATTTGGAAAAAAACAACATTGAGAAGTTTTTTTTATATCTACAGAAGATGTATATGCAAAAAAAACTTCAAAAAGTTCTGCTTAAGCCTCCGTTAGCAGAATACAAATTATCCCACAACAAACCACTACATTTTTTCATCATAAGATTTATTTGAAGAATGATAAAGTGCAGGTTAATTGGCTTTCCCCTCCTCCTTTATCCGGGCTAGGGACCAGCTGCTGTCACAGGCGGAGTTAAAAAGCATAATTAAACTACACAAATATTCAAAATGAAAAATGTCATACAGAGAGAAAAGACAAACCAAAACCAAAATCATAAGAAAAAAGTTTTTCTGCACATCACTTAGTCATTTCTGAACATTAATGCACAATAAAATTGGATTACAAAGATGAATCAAGTAAAATAATAAAATAAAGAATGAAAAAATATTAAATATAAAACACAAATGAAGCAGCATGCAAATATACAGAACGGCTATTACAACTACGAATCAATGTCTACAAAAAGCTGAAGCTTGTGAGTTCAAGAATCTGATAACATTAATCTGCACTAGATGAGTCCACAATATTGCAGGTCATCTCAATCTGTTGCCGCATATACAAGTCTGTGGTGCCTAACGACTATGCAATGATATGAAATAGTGTTCTTGGATTAAAGAAAATAGAATTTCTAGCAACCAAGTTCTGAAGAACCACAGAACCTGAATTCGATCCAAACTCCAAAGCCGTTCATGAAAAACGAAATAGGAAGTGTTTTTAAAATGGAGAGAGTAGTATTAGAAAGTAAATAGATCTGTTGTAACGAAAAACCTTGCAGCAAGGACTCAGCAGCACCAATAAACCAAGGCAGATAAATAGTTCAACCCGTTATATACTCATCAGCAAGGTCAATAAAATCTAGAGGAGACCGGGGACCTTGTACTTCTCGTTAAATCATGTGACTTACCTTACATCAACAAATCTAGAGGTAAAAGTTCCAGCAGCCAAACCAGTGATAAAACATACCCACAAAATTTCTTACCAGGAAAAAAAAACATCGGATCTGATATATGTGTATTGTTCAACAAAATCCATTTAGAGAAGCTTTGGCATCATGAAGAGCATTAGATGACTACTATTCCATGCGTACACAGTGATAACACTAATTTGCGATTCCAATCCTTGAAAGTGAAGCTCAGCCCCCTTGCTTCAGTTACTGACAAAAAAGCCGTCTCTATGTCTTCAGGTTTATGAAGGTCGTGGTATTTATAGACAACAAGAGGTGGTCAAGTAGAAGCTAACACACCAAGATTCGTACATAGTTCTTGTCAAATCCATTTCCTCTAACAACATAATCATAGTGCAGAATTTCATGTTATAAGCTATGGACACCTTGATATCAAACCAAGCCATCTATTCAATCACATGACTGACATCAAATCGAATAACAGGATTGCAAAGTCAAACAAATGAATCCGAAGTATTGCAAGCAAAGTCAAACAAATGTTCTATTACTCCTCAGAACCCTAAACATATAAGGACTATGAGAGTCGGTCAAAATGAAACTAACCATAGATATTCATTTATGATATGATTCGGCTGAAATTCAATATATCATACTCCCTCGGTGCTAAAATAAGGTCTGGATTCACCTGTTTCCTATGTAAAAAAATCAGTAAGAACTTCAATCCCTCCGTCCAAAAATAAACTTCCCACTTTCCTTTTTCGTCCGTCCACAAATAAACTTCCCATTTCCTTTTTTGGAAACTTTTTTATACTGAAAAGACTTAACTACCCTCACTCTCCATTCCTTATCTTTTCTTTTTTTCTTCCTTTTCCCAGTCAGTCAACCCACCACCGTCCATTTTTTCTTGTGTCCTTATCCTCTTCATTCCGTCACTTCATCTTCTTCTTTCTTTTTTCTTTCTTTTCTCATTCTTCTTCTTCTTTGCTTTCGTATTCATCTTCTTTCTTCTTCTTTCTTCTTTTTTCTTCATTTTTTTCTTTCTCTGCCTTTTAATTATCCTTTCATCTGCTGATTGGGAGCACTGAAATGGCGGTCGAGGTAACGCCGGAGCAGCAAGACAATGGTCGGAGGTGACGCCACAGTTGGATCTGCTCCTCTTCCAACATAGTCCCCATCAATTCCATAGATCTACAAGTCCTCCATCAATTCCATAGATCTCCGCAGTTAGATCTGCTCCCAACCCCGCCTCTCGCTGTTAAACTCTCGGATTCAAGATATGCATCCTTGCCCAGGTTGTCTTCAACGAAATCTAGAATAGATCTAAAAGGTGGGGATTACAGAAGAGCTGGGGGGGGGGGGGAACAAGCACGCTCTAGAGAGGCCATCAATGGTGGTGCCGCCGGAGATCCGCCGTTGGTGGTGCCTGAGATTTGCCGTCGGTGGTGCTTGAGGGTCATTGGCTGGTGGTTGCAATGGCAGATATGATGGACAGAGGGATATGTTGGAGAGGCTCGGTTAGAGACGTGTTGAGGTGTGGGGGTATAATTGGAAAGTCAAGGCCTATTTATCACACATTAATATGCGTGCCCGGTCAAACCGGGAAGTTCTTTTTTGGACGAAGGGAGTATATACTTAAAAATTTCATCAATAGTTCTTTACAAAAGTGAAGAAAAGAGAAAGAGGAGGTGACTTACTATAATATTTTATGTTATTTTGACAAATGACCAATCAAAACATTTAAGGAGAGAAGATACGATTTAAACATGTGAATACTGATGTGGAGCACACAAGAAATATACAACGAATAACAAAATTCTTCATCTTATTCTATCAACAAATTAATTGGAACCGGTTTTCCGAACTGGACGATTATCAATAGGATCATAAATCTGTTGAAAATAAAAAACCTTGATGTAAGGACTTGGCTGCAACAACAAACCAAGGCAGAAACAAGGATCAAGCTGATCTGTGTTCATCAGCAAGAAATATAAAATCTAGATGAGACTGAGGTCTTTGTACTTTTCATCAAATCACCAGTTTGAACTTACATCAACAAATCTAGAGCAACAGGCACCGCTGTTCCAGGAAACCAAAATCTTGGGTCTGATATATTGTTTAGCAAAAGCCATTTAGAGAAGCATTAGCATCTAGACAATTACAACAGAAAGATGTGGTCGGATTTTCAAACAAATAGAATAGTTTACCATCTGCATCCCTGGTCAAAGAGCGTGTCTTAGAATAGCTTGAAAGAGAGCTCCATAACCTCCATATGCACGTTGATCTTCATGTTACTTTCTCAACAGTGAAGCTAATCCCCCTAGCTTATATTGCTGACAAAAAAGACTGCTGCAGTTCACCTGTTCTTTGGGCATAAAACTTGACAAATTTTCTGTGCATTTTCAATAAATCTATTTTCAGCATCACATCAAATGTTTGTGACTCATAATCAGAGCATTTTCAATGCCTACACTTCCAGCATCTCCTCCCTTGACGACTGAAGTCTCACAATCAAAGTAAAAGCTATGACCTGCACCACTTCTACAAGCCAACATCGCAGAGGTTTGGTAAGAAACTTATCAAAAAATCATGTTAAATGATTTTACCAGGATTATGACAGTTGCGATATTTATAAGGGGTGGTCATGTAGACATGATCTCTGCATAGAACTTCCTGATATATTGGTAATGGAGACCTTGAAATCAAATCAAACGATCTCATTCTACCACCCAACTTCACAAAATTGTTGACATGACTGACATCAAGTCGGACCAACTTGCACAGCCAAATAAATCCAAAATATTGCGAGCAAAATCAAACAAATGATCAGTTCTGCATTTATTTATTCATCAAGACCTAATCACATATGATCCAATAATCTCGTCGAGAAAACATGTCCTATACTAATCGTTATGGGATATATAGATTATGAGTCAGACAAGATGAAAGTAACCATAGATGTCAATATATGATATAATTTTCAGGTTTATGAAAGTCGTGGTATTATAGTATATAAGAGGTGGTCAAGTAGAAGCTAACAAAACAAGATTCTTACATAGTTCTTGTCAAATCCATTTCAACTAACAACATAATCACAGAGTAGCACTCAATGAGCAATGGATACCAAACCAAGTCATTCAATCAATCACCCAAATCCACAAATTGTTGACCTGACTGACATCAAGTCCAATAAGGTCCAGCTTGCTCAGCCAGATAAATCCAAAATATTGCAAGCAAAGTCAAACAAATGATCTATTACTCATCAGAACCCTAAACATGAACTATGAAAGCCGGCCAAGATGAAACTAACCATAGATATTCATATATGATATGGTCCTGCTGAAATTCATTATATCATACTCCCTCAGTACTAGAATAAGGTCCGGATGCAGCTGTTTCCTAGAATTAGTCTTTGTAGACGCCTTCTTCTTTCTCTAACCATGGGAAGGAGAGGGAGACCGCCAAAACTGGACGGAAAAATTGCCGGAGATGATCAAAACACTTATGGAAATCTGCAATCGCACAATGTTCCTGTCTCGGATCCACAATCTTCAACTACACCTCAAATCTCAGAGACTATAGATCAAGTTACGACTCAAACCAACACAGAGAATACGCCGGAGATCCAGGAAGAATCACCAACGAAAACCTTTGCAGAAGCTGTGGGATTTCAGGAAGAACTCAATTTCAATCTGAAATTCATCCCAACAGAGGTAATTGATGGCAAATCTATAGCTAGATTGACTCATGATGATGTGATCGAACCTGGAAATTACTGGGATTCTGCTTTGGTCTGTTGTATATTGGGAGCTAATCCTCCTCTAGAGATTGTCAAAGGATTTCTCAATCGTATCTGGAAAACCTATGGAATTGATGATGTATCATTTTTAAAAGAAGGCCAATTCATTGTCAGATTCAAGAAAGAAGAAGATAGAGATGAAATCATTAAAAGGAAATACTATTACATGGACAATAAACCCGTCTATGTGCAGATCTGGTATCCTGGTGTTAAGGTTGATATTCTAGGGCGCAAGGATATCCCTATTTGGATTCAACTCCCAGACCTGGACATGAAGTACTGGGGACTATCTGCCCTAAGCAAAATAGGAAGCTCCATAGGGCAGCCAATCCGAAGAGATGGAGCCACTGCTGCCAGAAATAGATGGTCTTATGCTCGCATACAAATTGAAGTTCAAGTTAACCAAAGCTTTCCAGATCAAATCCATTTTATTAATGAGGAAGGGAGAATTATAACACAATCAATTGTGTACGAATGGGCGCCTACCCTTTGCTCTCATTGTGGTAGGATAGGACATGTGGCAGATAAATGCAGGAAGAAAAAAACAGTAGCAGGGCAACCACCCAGATTGAAACCTATTTGGAGACCAAAACTTCATCAGAAGGACAATAAGAATGAAGAAGTTGAAGTGGTTACACCAAAAGATCCTAAGTATAAAGAAGGGGCTGAGGACAACCCCGAGATGACTGAAAATTCAGGAAACAAAGAAGAAGAGTTTACTGAAGTGAGTAAAAAGAAAGCAGCACGCAGAAAGTCACTAGAAGGGAAGGAAGAGTCCTTTATTGGTATGATACATAAGGACCTGAGTCTAGCCCCCTATAAGGGGCACTACCCCTTTCTCTTATGATTGGATGCTGGAACATAAGAGGGCTTAACAGCCATAATAATCAGAATGAACTGAAGGATTTCATCAATAAATTTAACCTTTCTATCATTGGTCTCTTGGAGACTAAGGTTAGGGAGGTTAACTATGCTCAAATAAAAGACAGATTATTTGATAGTTGGGGCTCCTTTATTAACAATAATGTTCACCCCTTAGGCAGGATCTGGATCATATGGAATACTAATAAGGTCCACATTACAATATTGGATGTTTCTGATCAAGCTGTGCACTGCCAAGCGAAAATACTAGATGAAGATAATTACTTCTTTCTTACCTTTATTTATGCACACAATGAATCCTGTAAGAGAAGAGACCTGTTGACTTTTCTACAAAAGAATATGGTGACTGCTCCATGGTGTGTGCTGGGAGATTTTAATGTAGTGTTGAAGATGGATGAGAGAATAGGGGGAAATCCAGTGAATAGGGAGGAGAGCAGGGAATTTATGGATTGCCTTAATCTTTGTGGGTTAGAGGATTTGCCTTTTGAAGGTTCCAAATATACATGGTGTAATAATCAGGGCATTGGAAAGCGCATCTACTCTAAACTGGACAGAATCCTGGGAAATATAGAATGGATTATTAACTTCAATTTTAAAGCCCACTTCAGAGAGGGAGGTATTTCTGATCATTCTGCCATGATCCTTAAACAGGTTAAACATGACACTGGACATAGCTTCAAGTTCTGTGATATGTGGACTCTTGATCCCCATTTTCCTCAAATAGTGAAAGAAGTATGGGAAGAAAAACATGAAGGAACAACTATGTTACAAGTAGTACAGAAGTTGAAACTCCTTAAATCTCCTTTGAAGAACCTTAATAGACAAAAGTTCCAGCACCTTGATAAACAAATTGATATAATCAGAACCGAACTTCTGTCTGCACAAGCTATACTGAAGAACCAGATTGATGCACAAACCCTGAAGACAGAGGAAAAACTAAGGCAAGAGCTCCATTTAAAGCTGAAAGCAAACTTTCTTCTTAAAAGTCAACAATCCAAGGCTGACTGGCTCATCTATGGTGATCAGGATACTAAATATTTTCATGCATGGGTAAAGAAAAGAAGACTACAGAACCAACTCATCTCCATCACCAATGAAGATGGCCTTTTGGTAGAAGGAAAGAAAGAGGTAGCCAAAGTGTTGGTTAACTATTTTCAGAAACAATTAGGCATCCCAAATGATACCCTTGATATGAAGAAAGACATTGTGAACATGGGTAAATGCCTCTCTATTGAACAACAGCTGATTCTCATTGCTTCCCCCACTCAGGAAGAAATTAAGAATTGTCTGTTTGAAATCCCAAACCATAAAAGTCCAGGTCCAGATGGATTCTCTAGTGGTTTTTTCAAACACCAATGGGATGTGGTCGGGGGACTTGTCACCAAAGCTATCCAAGACTTCTTCCAAAATGGTGTGTCTCTCAAACAGATTAATTCCACTAACATCACTGTTATTCCCAAGAAAGACAACCCAAAAAGCCCCACTGACCTGAGGCCTATTGCTTGTTGTAATGTGATCTACAAAGTCATATCTAAGGTCATTTGTGGAAGACTTAAGAAGATACTGCTCTCAATTATAAATCTCAATCAAGGGGCCTTCGTGGAAGGGAGAGAACTTGGCCACAATGACTTCTCTGTCAGGAACTTGCAAGAGGTTACAATAGGAAAAACATCTCCCCGAGACTCCTAATGAAGCTGGACCTGCAAAAAGCTTATGATAATGTGAGTTGGAAAGCAATTGAATAGCTCCTCACATTAATGAAATTCCCTTCCATGTTCATCACATGGATCAATTTCTGCATGGCTACCCCTTCCTACTCTATACAGCTCGGAGGAGAAAGCTTTGGGTTCTTCAAAGGAGGAAAAGGGATCAGGCAAGGTGACCCAATTTCCCCCCTCTTATTTGTTATCTTAATGGAATACCTCTCAAGATCCTTCCAATATTATGCAACAAAAGAGAGTTTCACGTACCACCCCCTATGTAAATCCTTGAAAATTATCAATATCGTTTTTGCCAAAGCTGATGAAAAAGTCTGTCAACTGCATCTTTCATACCCTTGCACACTTCAAGGATACTACTGGTCTCTCTGTTAACTTAGCTAAATCAGAAATCGTGTTTGGAGGGGTACCCAGACAAGAGGAGGAAAAGTTACTAAGCATCACCAAGATGGAAAAAGGATCCTTTCCTTTCAGATACTTAGGTGGCCCAATTACCTCCTCGAGGATTAGTGATAAGGAGTGCAATATGCTTATTGATAAGATGACAGTTAAAATCTCTTCCTGGTCCTCTAAGAATTTATCTTACGCAGGGAAACTGAAACTTATCAACTGAGTTCTTTACGGGATCATTACATTTTGGAGCAGACTTTTTATCATCCCGTCTAAAGTACTGAACAAGGTTCAAGCTCCATGCAGAGACTTTCTATGGGGATCCTCACCTGATCATAGAAAAACCCCATTAGTCTCATGGGAGGACCTATGCAGGCCAAAGATAAATGGAGGTTTAGGGCTCAAAAATCTAACATTATGGAACAAAGCTAGCATCATGAAGATGATTTGGGACATATCTTTAAAGGACATATTATGGATCAAATGGATCCACAACAAATATCTCAAGGGATGCAGTATTTGGGACTGTCCGATTCAAAGGGATTCCTGTTACTACTGGAAAAAACTCCTGCAAATTATAGGGTGCTTCACCAATATGATTTGCAGCAGTGCCTACACACCTAAAGCAGGCTAGGGGATTTTCATAAGGTTCCCTGGAGTAACCTGGTATGGAACAAATTCTCCATCCCGAAACACAATTTCATTATCTGGTTAATGTATAGGGACAGATTGCAAACGAAGAAAAGAATAAGCAGATTCCTCCCTGTTGATCCTCAATGCCATCTTTGCAACCAGGAGGAAGAAGATAGTCATCATCTGTTCTGTAGATGTTCTTTTGCCAAAGAGACTTATCAACTGATCTCTACATGGGCTCAATTTGACTTCCAGGACAAGTCCATTGAAGAGGTTACCCAACGTATTACCAACATCTCCCCAGCTAAGAGAAGATTGAAGATAGCTGCCATCTTTGCAGCTTGTGTATACAACATTTGGAAAGCTAGAAATGAAGTTCTTCATAAGAACCTCCCTACTACACCTGGAGCAGTCAGCCAAAGAATTCACACTCATATGACCATCTTTCTCAACTCTAAAGGAATCATTATGGAATAGCCCTATATTTTGTAACCTAACTAGTTTATGATTATTGGTAGGGTTGTGTTTTGTTTCTAAACATGATGATGTACGTATATTTTCCTTGAGGAGTGAAATATATTTTGCTTTCGGTTCAAAAAAAAAAAATCAGTATGAACTTCAAAAAAAATTTATATATTCAAAAATTTGTCAATAGTCTTCTACAAAAGTAAAGAAAAGAGAAAGAAGAGGTGACTAAACTTTATATAATATTTTATGTTATTTTGACACATGGCCAATGAAAACATTTAAGGAAAGAAGATTCGATTTAGACATGTTAATAATGACGTAGAGCACACAAAAAATATATAACGAATAACAAAATTCTTCTTCTTATTTTATCAACAAATTAATTGGTACCAGTTTTCAGAACTGGAAGATTCTCAATAGGATCATAAATCTGTTGAAATAAAAAACCTTGCAGTAAAGACTCAGCTGCAACAATTACAATAGTTAGAAGTGGTGGGATTTTCAAACATACTGCAGGGAGTGCATTAGATAACAACTAATTCCGTTCGTATGGAGGGACCATTAGTTCATGACTATCTTCTACCTCGCTGGTCAAAGAGGGTGTCTTGGAAAGAGAGCTCCATTACCTCCATAGCATTAGATAATACTATTTCGGACGTAGGGACACTAGTACATGACTACCTTCTACCTCGCTGGTCAAAGAGGGTGTCTTGGAAAAAGAGCTCCATAACCTCCATATGCATGTTGATCTGCATGTTACTTTCTCAGCACTGAAGCTAGTCCCCCTATCTTCTATTGTTGACAAAAAGACAGCCTGTGTTTTCGTTGTAGTTCACATGTTCTTTGGGCAAAAACTTGACAAATTTTCTGTGTTGATCTACTTCCAGCATCACATCTAATGTTTGTGACTCAATCAGAGCATTTCCAATACCTACACTTCCGGCATCTCCTTCCTTGACTATTGAAACCTCAAAATCGAAATCAAATCTTCGATCTGCATGCACCGCCTCTATTAGTCATCTGGAATCAAAATAAGCCATCTGATTTGACCATTCGATTCACAAAATTGTTGACATGTCTGATATCAAGTCGGACCAACTTGCACAGCCTGATGAATACAAAATAAAATCAAACAAATGATCATTTTCGCATCTATTACTCATCAGAACCTAATCATATATTACCCAAGAATCTGATCGAGAAAATATGTTCTAAACTAATAACATACTCTATAACCTATTTTATCTTGATTTTAAATCGTTATGTTATTTATAGATTATGAGGATCGGACAAGATGAATTTGTAAAGATGAAACTATCCATTATATCATCCTCCCTCCGTACAGAATAAAGTCAAGAATTGGCTGTTGCCGATGCACCAATTGGAACTTTAATCTGTTGAAATAAAAAACATTGCAGTAAGACGCAGCTGCAACAAAAAACCAAGGCAGAAAAATAGATGATTCTGTTCTATGTTCATCAGCAAGAGATATTGAATCCAGATGAGACAGAGGACCTTGTTTTACCATTCCAACAAAATGTCGTTTAACAAAAGTCATTTAGAGAACCTTTAGCATCTGGGCAATTACAACAGCTAGAGGTGGCGGCATTTTCAAACATTTTGCAGGAAGTGCATTAGATAACTACTACTCCGTTCGTACGAAGGGACTACTAGTTAATGATTACCTTCTACCTCGCTGGTCAAAGAGGGTGCCTCAAAAAGAGAGCTCCATAACCTCCATATGCATGTTGATCCGCATGTTAGTTTCTCAACACTGAAGCTAGTCCCCCTTGCTTCTATTATTGACAAAAAAGACGGTCTATGTTTTCGTTGTGGTTCAACTGTTCTCTGGGCATAAAACTTGACAAATTTTCTGTGTTTTCAATAAATCTACTTCCAGCATCACATGTAATGTTTGTGACTCAATCAGAACATTTCCAATACCTACACACTTCCAGCATCTCCTTCCTTGACTATTGAAATCTCACAATCAAAGTCAAATCTATGATCTACATGCACCCCTTTTATAAGTCATCAGATCCTAGGTTTGATAGGAAACTTAGCAACAGATCATGTTAAATAACTTTATCAGGATTATTACGGTCGTGGTATTTTTACGGGGTGCCAAGTAGACATAATCTCCGCACAGAACTTCCTGATATATTAGCAATGGAAATCTTGAAATCAAAACAAGCCGAATGACTGACATGAAGCCGGACCACCCAAATTCACAAAATTGTTGACATGACTGACATGAGGTGGACGAACTTGCACAGCCAAACCAATCCAAAATATTGCAAGCAAAATCAAACAAATGATCAGTTCAACATCTATTACTCATCAGAACCTAATCATATATGACCCAAGAATCTGGTCTAGAAAACATGTTCTATACTGATTCCATAGATGTTCATATGTGATATGACTGTCTCTTTTGTAAAGATGAAACTATCCATTATATGCTTCCTCCGTACAGAATAAGGTCCAGAACTAGCTTTTTCTGACGTAAAAAAATTTAAAAACCGAAATAAAATTTAAAAATAAAAATTTCATATTAGTATTTATAAACTAAATGAATAGTTTTCTACAAAAGGAGAAAAGGAAGGTAACTAGACTATTATTTTATTTTAAAAATTGACCAATGAAATCTTTGAAGGTAAGACTCACGATTTGAACATGTGAATGATGTTAAGGACTCACCTTCACCAAAATACGAAGGCAGAAAAATATATCTACCTGATCAATATTCGTCAGCAAGAAATATAAAATCCAGATAGACCTTGTACTTGTCGAGAACCTTGGACTGGACATCGAATCACGTGTGTAAGCCTAAATCTACAAATAGAGAGCTACAAGTTCCCGCAACCAAGCAACACATCCACACAATCTTACCAGGAAAAAAATCTTGGTTCCAGTATTTTGTTTAACAAAAGCCATTGAGTGAAGCTTTGGCGTCTAGACAATTACAGTAGCTAGATGTGGTGAGATTTTCAAATGTTTTGAGTGAAGAAAATTAGACTACTATTCTTTTTGTACAGTCTACGGAGTGAGAACACTAACTCGATATTACCTTCTACCCTGTGGGTCAGACGGGATATCTTGGAAAGAGAGCTCCATATCCTCCGTATGCATTTTGATCTGTGCCACTTCTACAAGTCAATAAGGCGGGGGCTTGATTAGAAAATTAGCATCTGATCCGGACTACAAAATTCTATCACAATTCCAATGGTCGTGGTATTTATAGATTATGAGAGGTGGTCAAGAAGAAGCGAACACATCTGGTATTGTGCATAGTTTATGTCGAATCCATATCTACTATCACCATAATCAGTGCAGAACTTCCTGATTTATTAGCAATGGGCGTCTTGACATCAAACCAAGCCATCTTATATAACCACCCTAATTCACAAAATTCATGCCATGAATGACATCAAGTCCAATAACAAGATAAAAACACATCAACCTGCTCACCCAGATGAATCCAAAGTATTGCAAGCAAAGTCAAACTGTCAAACCAATGATCTGTCCCACATCTATTACTCATCAGAACCTAGGCATATATGGTCC